TATATATATATATATATATATATATATATATATATATATACACATATATATACACATACACACATATATAAATTTGTAAATTTACCTATTATCTTGTTATTGATATAATTAAAATAAGTCTCGTATAGAATTCATTTTTTGAATGTTTCAAATAATTAATTTTATTCTTTATGTTAAAAGAAAAAATATAGTACATATAACTAAAGATAGTAAATATATAATATTTCTATATTTATTTTAAAAGCACAAGTCTGTACATATTCCTGTCATATTATTTTTTAATTTATTATTCTGAAATCCAAAAATTTATCTAGATTTCTTATTTATTATAATATTTGTATAGGAACAAAATATTTAATAAAAAATAACAGTACATCACATATCACATTTGATTTCACAAGATTTGTGAATAAAAAATACAATTAAAATTTATAAAAATAATTAGAATTTTTTTAATATTTTATAGATCAACTGAAATATATATAAATCTTACAATGATAAACATGTTTTAAATGCTGCTGATATTTGATCACGGTGCAAAAAATATTCAGCTCTAAACATTCTTGATTTTCCGCTAAAAACTAGTTGTAAAAATAATTAATACATACAAAATGATGAGGTACAAAGAAGAAACATGAAGTTCATGTGACTATGTTTGAAAAACCTTAATGATACTGTCAAAAATATATGATTTACGATATCCTAGATCATATAATGTAACTCGTGATTTTATTTATACTTTGGCCCGAGTTACTCCAACAAAATTGGAATCAACTATATGTCAATCGCCGAGACAATGATGATTAAAATATTAATATACATTTATATTACATAGAAAAAAATTTTTCAATTATTTCTTCGATTGGTTGTGGCCGTCTCTTAGGATCAATTGTTGGTTCTTTTGATTCCAAGTGTTTATCTCTTAACATTTTCCAATTATTTAATATTGTTGCATATTCTATAATTTTATCATATTCATTCAATTTTGTATAAACATTTAAAAGTCCATGATAATCATATTCTAGACCACTGTAACTTTTACCGAATAATTTCAAACCTAGTACGAAAATTTAATTAAAACAATGACATATAAATTTAAAAAAATATTATATACATACTAATTCCAATACTCCTGTAATAAAGCCTTTCAGCATCTCTATATCGATTCATATGATAATTATATAACGAAGCTAAGTGTCCTATACTCAAACCAACTTCATGATCATCTGGTCCTAATAATTCCTCTTTAATATGTATAGCTTTTAAATGCATTGCTTCAGCTTCCTAAAATTATTGATAAAATATAATAATCATGTCCTAAATTTTTAATCAATATATTTACATGAAATATATGTACCTTACATTTCCTCATGCTCTGATATACACGTCCCAAATTTCCATAATGTTTTGCTGTTTGTACATTTCTTTCACCAAATGCTTCTTTTGCTGATTGCAAAGCAGATAAATGAAGGCATTCAGCTTTAAATAGTAGATTTTGTTTCGATAATGGCGATGATGTACTATCTAATGCTATTTCTTCGAGAATTAATGCATTTATTCTTTTTGCACTTGCTAACAACAAATGATCCCCATGTAAAAGATTTAGCATTATATCTATTGCTTTTTCAATATGAACACTGTTTATTTAAAGTGAAATAAAATTATAGGATTTTAATAAATTTTTAAGAATAATAAATTATAGAATAATTTACCTTGCTTCTGGAAATTCACCAGATCTATATTCATATACATAAAGAGCATAAGCTAAATCCTCATGTGCTAATGCAACATGTAAATTCATTTTACCAAATATTTCCATTCTAATTGCTAATGCATTCTACAACAAATAAGAAATATAATAAGATTAATAACACATAATTATAATACACAAGTAATAATAAAAAATAAATTAATAATATAATAATTGCGAAAATTATAATAAAATAATAATAATCTTATTAATTTATATTACGAACGTACGAACCTTATAGAGATTTACACTGTTAATTATATTATCAAAGTTTAACCAATAAAATCCATAATCTATAAGGACATTACTGTACACTGGATGATCAATGCCAAATACTTCTTTAGCAAGATATACAGCTTGTCTGATTAATAGACCAGCTCTCTGAAATTCGCGTTTTAATACACAAGATTTTGCTGCCTGCCTTAAAACATCAACAGTAATGCGCGCAGACAACGTAGGTTTCAGCTGTTTTAATGCTTCTATACTCCATCTAAACAATTGTGAAATTAGTGAAATTGAAAAAATGACAAATTTTGTAAAAGTAAGATATAGTGCATACCTATAAGCTTCGTCATATTCGCTTTTCATATAAAAAAGTATACTAAATTCAGTATATATAGCAGCATAATTATAATCATTATACCCTGCCTTTTTCAATCTTTCTATTAATTCTACAGCAAGTTGATGAGTTTTTGCTGCTTGTAAAAATTCACAATATGCAGCTTGTACATGTAAAAGTCTAAATTTTTAAATGCTTATTATAAAATATAAATCTATCTTGAAAAACAAACTAGATATAAATAAGATATATCTTACTTTCTGCAACATTCTAATGTTCTACACCAATTCTGAGGTATAGAATTATTTGCAAAACATAATTGTTTGCATGCTAGTAACACCTGTTCACTTTTTGCGTACCAACCAGCATCACTGAAAAATCCACCAATTCTTAAACCTAAATTTATTAAATTTTCTTCAGCAGCTAGATTTTCACTAACATCAAGATAGCATAATGTGTAAGTAATGCTTAATTCTTCTTCTACTCGTACTCCATGGTCTATGAGGCTCTGAAAAATCAAAAAAAAATGTACACAAAAAAAATTTTATATATTTCTTATTTGCATTTTTAACAAATATAAATAATTACTTGAAAACTTTGTAACAAATGTACACGGCGGCTAGTAACTGTTAACATCTTAGAAAAAATCTCTAGATTGCTGAAGTCAATTCCCAATAAACATAATCTTTTTTCTTGTACAACTGTAAAAATGAAATATTTAATGGATTATTTTATTATTATTGCATTAGTATTATTGTATTGATTTATAATGTAAATTATATAATGATTACATTTTAGAAAATTTATTATAATTACATATATAATTATAATATTTAATTAAAAAATATTAATTATCAAATTATAAATATTTAATTATATAAATTATAAAAATGTTGCAGTTTCTTTAAGATATTGATAAAATTTAAAAAATAAATTAATTTTGACGTATTTATCAAAAGTATATAATTTCGCATAACTCGTATACGAGATCATGTTCATTACGAAATAAATATAGAAATTTGTTATTGTGAAAACTTATGCATGAGCAAAGTATTTTTGATATTTAGCAAATCGTGTCACTATTTTATGAATCATTATATTGCATTGTAAATATATGCAAAATAAAAAAATAAAATATAATAAATATAGGTTAAACATATGATATATATCATTTTGTAACTCCGTTTTGTTGAATCATTTAAATTTATTTATTATTATTTCATATAAATTAAATCTAATTCTATATAATCTTATCGATATACATAATGTCAAAATACATTTTTGGCAAATACGTATAACTGTCATAATACAGTGTTATGATACTTTGAATGTTTTGATTGAACATGCGATATTATTTTATAAATATGAGAAATAAAAAATTAAATTCATAAAAATAAATCGTTCATTTTGCAATAATTTTGATAATGAAAAAAATTTTTGTTAAGTTAGAAAAAAAATATATAAAAATATACATTTATTACTGTGTAAAAAAGCGTTCTAATCAACAACATAATTTGACATTTACCTGATAGTAAACATCGAACAATACATCATTCGGTAAATCGGGAAGATACTTTCTTAAATTTAGAAACTTGTTTGCTATTGCTAATACACTCAATTGGTAAAGAGTTTTTGGGGAAAACACCGGTGGATTACGTGTTTCGGCCATTTTCCTAGAGGCCTTCGATAATCACGAACGCGCACACAGCCGTAATAATTGCTGTCACGTCTTTGTGCGCATATGCTGCCGCGATGCTCCGCCATCCAACCACCAGCGACAACCCCCACTTAGAACGATGGTAAAATAATATATATGTCTAGCGCACCAGATATAAGCAAAATATTTTTTTCTTTTATACTTGTTATTATAATAATTATACGAACAATAATTATACAAATGAGCTCGTTTGACAGAAATTATATTTTTGCAATAATTGTTATTGAATTATAAAATATTGAATTTAAAAACTAATGTATTTTTCAAAATATACTAGCTCATATTAATTATAAGATCGTATATCAAATCAATATTATAAATCGATTTTTTATAATACTAAATATACATAGGATAATACCTGTTAATAGAAAAGGAACACGATGAATTTCAAAATTGAATTTTGAAAAACTGATTAAAGACATGGATTAAACATCTATATCGAAAAAGCGACAGTAGATATACATAGTTCAGAAAAAAGAGAGTCGATATTGTTGTGATCGTGAAAGAGGCTGATTAATGGCGCCAGCATTGGGCCATGTCTTCTTTGGCCCAGAATTCCTTTTCCGAAAATACGACCAGCGGAAAAAACGTCTAAGGTGATTTAATGTTATCGACATTTTTTACACAATATAAAGTGACTAAAAACAATAATCTGTGTGCATAAGTGAAAGGAAATTGGTACGCATACTGCTACCAATTGTGAAAGTTTGAATGTCAAATCGTATGTTTTTGATCGCATTATAAATCGGATGTCCCGCATTGAACGATTGTGTCAATGTGGTGAACAAATTAATCTGAGTATCAATTGAATTTTTTACTTTATTTTCTATAACTTTGTATATTTAGATCGTATTTACATACTGGGAAATATGTAATTATAACCTTGCATTATCAAATACTTATATGTCTATCTCATTATCGATAATTAGACTTTTATTGTATTGATAACAATTACCTGTCGATAAAGTTGCTTTGTGCACGTGTTATCACGTATTTAAACATATTATTTCCAATATATGTCACTTATATATATTTATATAATTTATACATGTAATTTATTTTAAAAGTACATATATTTGTTATTCATTAAAGCATTATACTTTCAAAATATATATTTTAAAGACATATTATATTTCAAAAGAAAAAATATTAAAATTTTTGACATAGATAAAATGTGAAACAATCTAATAATTCTAATGAAAAATTCTAATTATTCGGTATTATTGAAAAAATCTTTGTGAATTTTATAATATTATACGTTTTTATTTTAGGGGTACGTTCGATGGTGCACAAAGTGCACAGGATGGAGGAGGAATGCTCTCAAGAGAATAAAAAAGTTGAGACAACGATGCAGACTACGGTCGCAGTAGCGAATACCTCATCAGATGACGTTTGTAACGCACGGGCACGTGTATCTTGCCAAGAAGAGTTTACATGCTCTTTGTATATCTCGCGTGCTGTCGGGCCGCAAGGTCAAGTGCAAGGAATACAAAGTGGCAAGTTGCTGCTTATTTAACGAATTTTCCGTTTTTATATATGATTTCATATATATATATATATATATATATATATATGTA